ATATTAAAATAAAATTATATAATAACAATATTATAAAAAATTCAATTAATTTTTTGCAGACAAATTTGCCTGGAAAGGATTAATATATTAAGGGATAATTGGATTTATAAAAAAGTAAAAGAATATTTATAATTTTAAGAATATTAAAAATATAAAAAATAAAGCTTGAAACAAAAAAAATTTTAATATAAAAATATATGTATATAGAATATGTAAATAAATTAAAGAAAAATAAAAAATTTTAAATCAAATATATTAAATTTTTAAATATATATATATATATATCTTATGTTAAATCTAATGTTTCTTTTAACATTATATGATTAATAATCACAATATAATAACAAACTTGTCAATTAGTATTACAACATTATAAAAAATCAATAGACTTGCTATTTTCCATAGCTACAATAAAATTGATATATTTTAAATTCAATATGTTACAAGATATTAATTTTTATTTGTTATATAAAAAAGAAAGTAAAAGTAAAAAAAAAAATTATTATTTTAAAAAAATAATTTTATAAACAATAAATTAATATAAATTTAAGAGTATATACAGTATATTAAAATAATTGTATATGGTTTTTTACGATTAATAAAAAATCTCATTGAAAAAATCAATAATAACAACAATAATGATATTAATGATAATGATAATAATGATAATAATGATAATAATGATAATAATGATAGTGATAATGATATAATGATCGATTGATGATTGATTGATATTTCTAATGAAATTGCAGATAGATGGATAGATAGATGGATGGATATTTCAAAAAGCAATTATTCATAAAATATACTGTATACGATATACATGTATTTATGGGTGTGATTCAATTTGTTTTTATCATGAATTGAAAAAACCATCGGATCTTGTAGTAGGTAACAAACTTAGCAAACTACTGTATGTAATTGTTTTTTCGGTCTTTGGAATTTTTTTTGAAAAAGATGAATTTCAATGTAACAATATTGTATGTAATTTATTATAACGTCATGATACATTGCATTTAAAAATATAGTAGGTGAGTTGATAAAGTATATAAATAAAAAATTTATAAAAAAATGTATATGCGCATGATATGATATTTTATTAGTTCAAGGGTATACATGTACAGTATCTTTAAATGCGTGCACTGTGTACATCGGTTTGTTGAATAGCAAGGCAAAAAGAAAAAAAGCGAATACTACATACATTCCATAAGTGTGTATCAAGAAACTCAATAATGAATAATGAGCCTCATAAAGAATCGTTTTCACGCCAATGTCAAACTCTTAGATACTCGAAAACTCATTTAAACTAAATAAAATCGATTGATAATTATTGTGCACAATTGAATTCAGTGATTTTACTGCTTTTATGGCTAAAATGCATTGCCAAGAAAAATTGTACAATTCAACTAAATTAGCATCGTTATACGGTATCTAATTGGCATTATATTTTTAGTAAAAATATTGTTTCTTATAGTGGCGTGGATATTTTTTTTTTTTTTTTTTTTTTTTTTTTTTTTTTTTTAGATAAAACCACATTATCATAATTTTGGTATTATCAAATACACTTTTGGAATTGCAATGAATGCATCTAAGAACCCCAAAAAGGTAAATTGCATTTTAAAAATTATAATTCGAGTATCTGAAACAGTATGGCCAATTGACGAATTGAAATTCACATCTTAGACCTTTAGAGATGATATTGTAGTAATAATAATATTGATGATGTCTCGATATCATTTTGTTCTTTTTTTCTGAAAGTCGTTCTAATTCGATCGCCTACATGCTGGACACACAAACATATCCGCAAGCCTTGACATTCCCCTGGCTCGTGTTTTTTTGGCCTCTGGACTGGGTCATATATATAAGCTGTCTGGAAAGATGATTTACGTTTAATCACTCTCTGTTCAATGAAGCTTATTTAACCAACCAATCATGTAAAGTCAAAAGAACAAAAACCGAATCACCCAGAATGACTTCTTAAGGTCTTGTAAACTTTGAAATGTGAATAATTTAAATAGGAAGACCTCTTCTGCTTGGATTACTTAATATATTTGCAGATGACGATAATCTGTTTCATGCTTGCTTTGAATGTGAAACACTCCTTGACTTTCGATTTTTACCAGGGTGCATAGAACTAAGCAATTGATTGATTATCTCAATGAATTCGTCTACGCATGCAATCCTTTACTTGCCATTCGTATACAGTGTCTTGTTCTGAATATGCGAAGGTATCCCTGTGTAAGCAAATACGTACCCCAACATCGCATTTGCATACATTAATACATCCCAACATTTATGTATCTCGCCTATACAAACAAAAAGAAAACCCAAGTGCTAGGTTTTCACATGTCGTATATAATATGTGGGATGCCCAGATATTTCGTTGTGGTCTTTTTTTTTTTTTTTTCTGCTCACATTTCGTTAATTCGTTATTAACGGTTCCGGTTAGTGGTAAAGATTTCCCTCGCATCAACGAGGGACCGCCATCCAATTGTTCAGTGCAAATTTGTGATACCACTAGGTATAAAATGGACCAATGGTGATGAAACGTTGTTTACATGCACGTGTCACACAAGATACGTATTTGTTGAAATGTTGAGCGGAATTACGAAGGCCCCCCACAACAAATCGTTTGCTTGTAAACATACATTTTATTTAAATCACGTGACAACCAAGCGGAGATTAGATGTGTATCACCGCTATAAAACCCGGTGATTTATTTTATCAGCACAATAGGTCACAAATTGTTGAGGCTTGTCCAAGGTGACCCTACCCTTTTTGTTAAATATATCGGGAGATGGCTACGAAGAAATATTCAGTAAACGGTTGGTTTTCGGATGATCAGGAAGGCTTACGCTTGGAGATCACAATCTTACCGGTGCCGAGGTGTAGTGGAATTAATTTCCTCTCTTCCATCATTCCTGTGCCAGTTTGCCTAGCATGTTTCCCGATCCGTTGGTTTCACGAGCACACAATGTATGCATCATGGCGTTATGCGTCTGGTTGTGTGATTCGTTCCTAAAAATAATTGTCAAAAAACAAGAATCAAAATTATCCGCTATTTTATTTTGATATTTTTTTTGACACATTTTTGTCTTTTTTTGGGAGATTTTTTTTTTTTTTTTTTTTCTCGAGCTATTTTAAAACATGATGTAAACGTTTTATGTGGTGTACTCTATACTCCGGTGACACATACAGTAAGATACTATACCCCCTATTTTATATACAGTATGTACAGAGTAATGTATAAATAGTATAACCTTGTAAATATACAAACCATTGAAAAAAAGTATAAGTGCTGATATCTCCCCAAAATTTTTTTTGGTTTTGCTTTTTTTTTTACTGTTTACAAAATTTGTTAATTCGCTTTCTTTCATCAAAATTTCATTTCAAAAAAAATTTTATTTTTTTTTTATTTTTTCATATCTATCCAAATAGTCATTTTGGCAACTTTATCTTTCCCTCCTTTGAGTTAAGAGCATTTTTCGAACATCATCACGTTTCAATAAATTATTTCATTTGCTTTTGGTTCGCGTTCCGCATTAGTGACGTGATCTTGCGTTATAATTTCTTTACTAAACGAAATCATCTCTTTGAGAATTCCTCGCATTGAGATACTTGACTAGAATAGAATCATAACAAAACAATGAGCACCCCTTCTGAAATCAGGTCATTTGAAGACGGCCGGTCGGATCCACTAAAGTTCATTGAATATGAATCCTTTGAACAGTTGACTCCTTTGATCACAAAAAATTCGCAAAGCCACACCAGCAATGGCAGTGGTAGTAAATTGTTTTGGGCCGTTTTCGGAAACGATAAAATTGCCGTGGTTTTAAAATCCGTGAAACTCAATGTTCCGAGTGAAGAAAATATTCAGGCGAATGAGGGCGAGAACCGCGATTCAAGTGTTATCGACCCACTTGCAAACGAGGTTGGTGATCAAAGTTTTTTCGAGTGATTTCTGGTCTGTTGATTCTCGGTCCCATTATTAATGAAAATACCGAATTTTTTTTTTTTTTTTTTCAACTATCCATGTTCCAATTCGATCATGTAGTTAACATTACTGTCCAAGCTTCATCCTCATCAAAACATTATAACTTTTTTTGGTTTGACCAAAGGTGAGGCATAATAATTATTTATCGAGAAAAACATAAACATTCGTCGGAAGCGTTGTTCACCAAAATTCTTATTCTCATTCTCATTACTCTAGTTCCAGAAAATGATGGCATATTCTCGGTAACTCAATACGTCACCGGAGGGAATCTTCGACAATATTTGAGGCAACAAAATTCTATTTTGTCGTGGAATGACAAAATAAGATTTTCCGAGGAGATCGCATCTGGATTGCATCACATACATGGCATGGGTCTTTCGCACAGGAATCTTGTAAGTTGATGATCATTTAACGGGTTCACTCATGATTCATCGTGTCATTCGTGTTCACCAAAGTGTTCGATTTTTTACGTGTCAACATATAGCATCCGAATAACATACTAGTACAGGATGGGCATATGGTGATCTCGGATTTTGGTTGTTCGTCAAGTTTGGCGCACCTCAACGAGATGATTCCTTTCATCGAACCGCTCTACCTAAAAGATCAATCCTATTGCCTAGATAGGCGGTCCGACATCTACAGTTTTGGTGGGATCATGTCCGAGTTGTCATGCGGTCGACCACCATTCGAGTTGTTTGGGTCAAATTATCAATTATTGATCAACCTCATTGTCAACGGTGACCGAGACTCATCGGTAATTTCCGGTGCACCGATCTCATACACTCAACTATACCGACGTTGTTGGGATGCGGATCCGTCAAAACGACCGACCATCGAAAGTGTGATGAAACTGCTTATCGACATTCGATCGGAATTCCCCAAGGTCCTCACCAAACCACCGGCAGACATCCCATATCAAGCGAACCCACGTCACCATGCCATAAAAAACATTCCATCTTTGCTCGTACCCGCGATTTCGCCGCGTGTAGATTCCATAGGATGGAGGGATTCGATGGGTGATTTTTCCGAGTATGATGTCATCAACAAGGATGAGCTGAAAGGATATTCGGGACCCACGAGAAAAGTAAACTCGGTACCTCTGGTGAGTGCTGTTTTGACGTGTTGTGTTGTTGTCTGATAAATTATCGACTTCCTGATCTAATCGTTATCTATCTATCTACTCAATCAAGGTTGGTGGTGTGTCACTAAATTCACGACGTCGCGTAAAGGCACGTAGCTTAAGCTTCGGAACACCCAGGAAATCTTTGCAAAGGGCACATGAAAGCGCCCATTTGCAACTTCATCATTCGATGTCGGTGATCGGAGGAAACAACAGCGAATATCTCAACATAGGCGCAAACGCGCCGTTGTTTGATAATAACCAGCCAAAAGTAATACTGATCGCACGATATTGTCCGGGCAAGAGCATCGTGAAAGTGTTTGACCAGCTAAAAAGGCGCAAGATAGATCTCACGTTACGCGAGGCCTATAAATCCAAGTCGGTGTTTCATAGTTTAATCTGGAATGATGATTTGTTCGAAGTGACAGGCATAAATCATTCTCAACAAAAACCGGCAAGGCACAACAACTTCCGGGCCGCCTTGAAATGGTTGAATTCCAACAATTTGGATATAAATTCCGTGGACGATTTTGGATGGACGGCATTGCACGAGGCAATCTGGAAGCGTAAAGAACCGGGTGTGATATTGGCTTTATTGGAGAACCAAGCTAACCCGAATATACCGGACAAACTTGGTGCCACACCGTTGCACCAATGCTTGGATTTGCTGCGCACGACAACACGCGATGACGAAAACCGACACATATTTACCATAATAAAGCTTCTACTGCAATACGGAGCTGATCCAAATTCAGCGTTGCCGGACACCACACTCACAATCTCTGGATCATCATTGCCGAACTGTCTGTTTGCTGCGATTTACATGGACCTACCATTGGATATCATCGAACTGATGATCAAGCGAGGGGCGGATACCACATCAACAACATTTCGAGGATTACATTTGCTAGATTTCGCGGCGAAGATAAATAACTTGGTGGCATTAAATTACCTGACGAATAATAAGAACTCATCGGATACCAGCAAGATGTCAAGTCTATTTAATTCGTTGAGGATAAACTCAAGAGTGGGATCGGTGGGTTCTATTTCGATTAAGTATGAGAAAGGTAGTAGGAAGAAAAGGTGGAGCATCATACGTTCGATATAGACGCGAAAAGAAGAACAATTTATTGGTGGTCAGAGAGTGATGAGATAGTAGAGTAGTAGGGAATTGTATTTCTATCATTTATTTCTATCGCTTCATAGATCGGTTCCTTTATGCCGCACACAACCAACCATCATCATTAAATTTTCAACTTTAACTTATGGTAATACTAATCGACATTATAACTACAGTATAATATATATTCTATATGATTTACATTTGTACATATTTGTAATTTGACCTCTCACTTTAAAGACAGAAATTATATGAAAACCGCAAAAAAAAAAAAAAAAAAACTTTTAGAAAATTATTTATTCATTCCAGTCGCAATAATTTTTATTAGCTTCGTTCTTTATTTCTATCTATCTATCTTTATTACATACATCACATCAAACTCTTTAATATAAATAAGCTTTCATTCACTGTTCAATATGCAATCAATCTCGAATTATATACAGTATATTCAATACAGACGGCTGTTTTTCATTTTTTTGTTTCCAAATAAAAATATCTGATAAGGGATGTGCCGTATTGCTCAGTAAGATGTGATGTTTTGTGTTATCGCGTGGCTTTTTGGTATGAGTAGTGCTTGCGATGCAATATTGGGCTTAGCCTCCGGAAAAATAGGAAATTTACACGTGAGAGACTCGAAGGAAATTTCGAGGCTGGCTTGTGATCCTGCTTCACAGGATAAATCTGGTCTGAAAACTAGTCTATGACAACAATCTACTTCATTAGAGCATCGCCGTGCCCGTCAATCATGTTGTCGCACATGTAGCGGATAACTTTAACTTTCTTTTTGCAAGCCATAATGAATCACACAAAGTACAATGTAAGTTTTGTTGTTGTTGTTGTCGTTGTCCTTATACGCCTTTGGCTGATTTCGTTTTCTGAATCACAATGAGTAAGTTAACGATGGATTTATTAAAACTAAAAATGGAGGTTGAATGACCATTTACGTATTAGGGGGTTCTTACGATAATTTTAAAAAAAAAAACTTGTTATGTTCTAGGATTTTTTTTCTTTTTTTAAATTAAATTCTTTTTTTCTTTTTCAATGGAGACCAGATTGCTATTTAAAAAATTCAAATACCAGAGGTCAATCAAACCCTCGGTGATGCAAAAACGAAGGGTGCTACATATTAAGGAATGAATGGAAATACTAGCCAAAATGAACCAACGCACAAGGATAAACAAATGTGTTGATCATCCGGTCACGTTGAAAAGTGACCAAGACGAGATCATAACTGCTTTCCGTATTCGTGAAAATACTTGATGAAATCCGGACATGCGTGCTACGTTTAGTAGAATCGATCAAATATTGATCAAGAGATCCTTTTTTTTGTGCACAGTACACACGCATACGAACGAGAGAATGAGATCACTGATATTATTGTCTCATTTTGGTTCATACATGTACTCAAGATACCAACCATAATAGGACAAAGTCGAGGAGCACATGACTTGACTCTTGCATACAACTCTGCGTAAAATTAGTAAAATTAGCAAAATTAGCAAACAGCGTGATTATGTAATACTGTATTATATATAGTATGTATAACACGACCATTACGTAAGTAAGATACACGTCATTCACCTCAGTTGTAAACCTTAATTATTTATTCTCGTGTCTATTATGTGGGACATTTAATTTGAAAATCGGTGCGCTGAAAGTCGATGGATGAATGCTCAATAAGAAACGAAACACTTCTCCAATAGTTAATCTTATCGATTGAGGGAATGAAAAAGAGTTTGGTAACATTTATTATTGCTAATTACAGATGTGAAAGGAGTAAAAAATGTTACACGCGGGCTAGGGAAATATGCATGTGTACATTAATAAAAAAAACATTTACATTAAAATTAAAAACATTCCTCATTACTCCTCGATTCATCCTTGATATTCTGATATGGAAATATCATAGCGAATGCCGTATTGATTCTCACGCGACTGTCGTGAACAATTCACGCAATTTTGTCATTCTTGCGCGACGATGACAGTCGAGTGTGCAAGGTGTCATCTACTACAGTAGATAAAACATTTAACATCTAAGAAATCGTGACATGTATTCACGTCTTCAATCAGAAATAGTTTTGTTGTTACATTCAATTCGGTGCCATTGTTATTGAGTTAATTCTGAGGGTTACCTCAAAGACAGAATATTTATTTGCAACAAAGAAGGGGTGTGATGATGATAGGCACATAAAATTAAATGTGGTAGACGGGAAAGATTCTTTTTTTTTTTTTAAGGAAGGAACGCGAGCTCCGCATATCAATCTTTAAAATTTCCAAATAAAGGGAATCCTATTTAGGAATTTTTTGCAAGTCAATGCACGTGATCGGCGATTGGTTTCGCGAAGACTAAAACTAACAGAAACCGCTGTTGACAGACATACATTTGTTGTATCAATTGTAGTGGGCGAATTTAGGAGCAAAAACAATAGGGACAACGGTGAATATTAAGTATACATGTAAAGTGTAAAAAAATTTGAAACTCACATACAGTAACACTTATATATCGAACTGAGAAAAACGAAAAGAAAAAAGAGGCATAGACCAAGTTAGCTTTTCGAATTACAGTTTTTTACAGGTCACACGAAAATATTGTCAAAGACTAGTAACAAGCTCGATGTTTAGCTTGTACACAACTTAACAGTGAATTATTATGAGCAGTTATTTTGCGATCTAATTTGGTCTATTTGAGATCTTCTCGACTATCTTTTTAACTTAATTGTTCCAAGTTTCTTTATCTTTTGTTGTAAAAACATCCTATCTGACTGCGATTGTCATCAAATACTGTATATTCTGTACGTATATGGGTAATTATTTTTGAAGGCAGCAAAAATGCTAGATATGATTTTTTTCGGTCCCTACTTTTAACCAATACTTACACAATGTAAATTTTAGAATCACAATTATAGTGACCGAAAAAATCCCTGTCCGCCTTCGAAAAGAATTACCCATATATTGTATACATTATCTTTTATCACATTTCACGATACACTTATCTGCCCCCATCATCATCCATCTAAACCATTTTCGAACTTTTATTTTCTAAACCTTTTTCTACATTCTCGGCGCATTTCAGAAATCATGATATTCATTAAAGTACTGTATCTTCTGTCTTTTGTTAAACTGTTAATTTGAACTTTTATACTAACATTAATATGGTTGCGATTGAAATCACGTGATCTTATATAACGTTTTTGCTCTTTTTATCTTATCTTTTATAGCTAATAAAAAACTCATGCCTTGCTAAAATAAATTGTCTAGTACTGTTGATACATCAATGTCATCATTTACACTATAATGACAATGGCTAAAAATATTCAAGACAATGAAGTGTTGTTGTTTATTTTCTTTTTAACTCAATTCTACTTACCTTAAAAGTGAAGGTCGAAAATTGCAAAAATTTGCATGAGTATGGATTGGAACGGCAACAAACTAGTCATTCAAAGTTAGATGTGAATTTTACAAAATAACGAGAACATATATCATGAATATTTATTGTTGTAGATTATGATATTTCCTATTAACGATTGTATGACAGAACAAATAATAATAAATCGAAAAGAATAACCTCGACATTCCGGGTTTGGATAAAAGAATAATATTTGGTTAATGCGTTTTGTTATCATGTTATATTTTAATGATATACAGTATTTTCTTAAATAACCTTCAAAAATATACTGATATCCTCGGGTTTCTTTTTCACGGTGTTGCATTTGATTCTTTTTTAAGACTACATTATTTCTTGTTCAATTCCATTAGAATTATTCTTGTTATATCGTTACTCGAGAAATGTTTCTTAATTTCTTTTTTAATTATAAAATTTTATTTTATTAAAAAAAAAATCATTATTATTATTTGCAATTCAAAAAACTATTTAATTTTCATCAATGACAAATTTATTATTTAGTACAAAACCCCCATATTAAACTATTTTAACAAATTAAACATCTCGATATTTTACTCATTGAATTTATTATTATATTGTATACGATGGATCATATAAAAATTATAAGTTTAAAAATCAAAATAAAAATACGATTCTTTTAAAGCCAAGCATCAAAACTTTAGTTCTAAAATATCATGATTTACATATATTATATTGTTATTTATCATGATTCTAGTGTTTATATATTTTTAATATATATATATTGTGTTAATGAAATATTTTTTTATGATTTTTATTAAAAGAATAATTTGATATTACATGTTTTTATATTATGATAGAAAAATAATTATATACGTGTTAACCTATTATTATAAATAAATATGTTTAATAAAAAATCTTAAAGCAAAAAAAAGTCACTATCTATTTTGAAGAGCTAATGTTTTTTGCTAATTTATTTTATTTTGAAATATATTTTTATTAATAGGTTTGAATTTTTATTAATAATTAATAATTAAAAATTTATTAAAATAAATTAAATTTTCTAAAAAAATTATAAACAAATATAAAGTTTTTTAAAATCTAATAATTATTTTTTATTACTATTAATATAAACCTATCTACTTGATACCAGTTGATATTAATAAATAGTTGCAATAGACTATAATTAATTTACAAACTATATAAAAATTATTAATATAATGGCTATAAACTTGTGTTTAATAAAGTCTTACATTTAATACTTGTTTATAATAAAAAAAAAATAATTATTTTTTTTATAATTTTTTATTTTTAAAAAATATTATTAATGTATTTAATATAAAACTTTAAATATATATTTTTTAAAATATAAATAAAATATTAAGTTTTTTTAATACTTTATTAATAAATTTATCATAAAATTTGATTTTTAAACTAAAAAAATTTGATTAAAAATTTATATTAAATTATAGTCAAAGAAATAATTTTTACCATATAAAAAATTTTTTAAAAAAAATTATTTATAAAATTGAAAAAAAATAGTTTAAATAATAAAAAAATTATAAAATGTTTTTTTATAATATATAAATTAATTTTATAAAAAATATTTTTGTTTTTTATTTTATAA